GGGGGGGGGGGGGGGGGGGGGGGGCTTGTAAACTCAGGTTGGTATTTAAAAAAAAAAAAAAAGTGTAATATTTATTTTGTACGTACATTTATATAGCTGCAAAGCAACATACATTGAATAAACGGGGCAAGACCGTTCCTTGGGGTTAAGGGCTTTGCTCAGGGGGGCAAGAGTGCAATCCCTCTGCCCAACATTGGGTTTTGAACCTGCAACCTTCTGATCACGAGTTCCAACCCGCAGTTACACAGCGTTTCGCTGACCGTTTATCTAAGTGCTTTGGCATTTTTATCCTCAGCTTGTATGTTGTCACAGCGATGAGTAGGTGCACGCGCGCGTGTGTTTTGACGTGCGTTAGTGCCGGTATTCCAGCACCGGTACGTATGTGAATGTGCCCCCTCCGTGTGCCTTGCAGGCGTGCTCATCGATGCCATGCGCAAAGGCTACTGGATAATCCTGGATGAGCTCAACCTGGCCCCCACAGACGTACTGGAGGCGCTGAACAGGCTGCTGGACGACAACCGCGAGCTCTTCATTGCTGAGACCCAGGAGGTGGTCAGGGCGCACCCCCGCTTCATGTTGTTTGCCACCCAGAACCCCCCAGGCCTTTACGGGGGCAGAAAGGTACGTCATCCCAGCGTCCAGCGTGGCCATCGCGCGGCGGCCCAGAGCGGTGCTCTCAAACGGCGGCGTCCTGCCCGCAGGTTCTGTCCAGAGCTTTCCGGAACCGCTTCGTGGAGCTGCACTTCGACGAGCTGCCCAGCGCGGAGCTGGAGGTCATCCTGCACCAGCGCTGCTGCCTGCCGCCCTCATACTGCGCCAAGCTGGTCAAGGTCATGCAGGAGCTGCAGGTAGGGCCCGCTGCCCATCGCATGCCCCGTCGCCGGTCTGCGCATTCCCCGTGCTGCTGCGTTTCAGACCGTTTCTGTGCTCGTCTCTGTTCAGTCGTTGCGCAGGGGGTCCACTGTGTTTGCCGGCAAGCATGGGTTCATAACCCTGAGGGATCTGTTCCGCTGGGCCGAGCGGTACCGGCTAGAGGACGACGCAGGATCTTCCCACGACTGGCTGCAGCATCTGGCCGACGACGGTGAGCGGCAGGCGCATGTGTGGCAAATTTGCCCAGTGGTTTGTCCTTAAGGCTGATCACTCCTCAGAACAAAAATGTGTTTCTGTAGCCGGAATTGAAGAATTGTTTTGTTTTGTTCAGGGTTCATGCTGCTGGCAGGGCGGGTCAGGAAGATGGAGGAGGTGGGCATCATTCAGGGCATCCTGGAGAAGCACTTCAAGAGGAAGATCGACCCCAGTACCCTTTTCTCAGAGCAGAGCCTGAAAAAGCAGTTCAGTAAGTACGTCTAGGATGTGCACAGCTGTCTGAGTGTGGCTCTTAAAAGACCTTCAGGTTTTGCTGTAATAATCATTCTGACAAAGACATTTAGTGTTAAAATAATCCTGGTGGTGGAAACTCTGAAATTGCCCTTTTAATAGGAAGGGCCCAAGGATTTTTCTTAGCAAATGTAGTTGACCACTAAATATTTCACCATTGCCAAAAGCCTTTGACTTTTTCCTTAGCTTAGGTAATAATTTTATAAATGGAAACGTTTAATTTCCGAGGTGGCCTCCGGTACTTTAAAACAGTGCCTGCGGAATGGCGGAATGGTTTGGTGTAGGTGCTGAG